TGACCAGAATCCCTGAGACTGCACTCCCTCTTCCTTTCCCAAATGGCTGCTTGTAAGGAACTTATGTGGGTCTCCCTGGACCAAGTACGGCCAAGAAGCTGGGAGATAAAGACAAGCCAGGAAGGACACCAGGAGACTCTTGATAAGCCCCAATGTCTAGGCCTAACCATCTGTAGGATCTAGGCATAGGACCTGGTCAGTGCCTCTCAGCTTTTCTGGTCTTTGTGACTTTCATGACCTCAAAGGAGTGGTTTCAATATGCTTTCTCGTAATCTGAACAGAAAAACTGTCTGTTATTGGCTGTCGCTCTTTAGGGGACCACAGATTACTGTATTACCAAGGGGTTGGGTTGTTGTTGGGTTTGTTTTTGTTTTTTGTTTTTTTTTTTTGCCTTCCTCTCCGCAAAACCAATTTTTACCTCCTTGGGAGTGATTTCACCCCTGCTGAGAATGTATATTCTTTCTCTGTGTGTAATACATTTGTGCTCTGTGTCCACAGAGGATACCAAACCGAACTCTGCAGGTGTGTAAGTCCTTTATATAAAATACTATAGGATTTGCATAAAATCTACACACATCCTCCCATATAGTTTAAATCATCCTAGATGACTTACAGTACCTAATATAATGTAAACACTATGTCCACCATTGTTGCACTGTATTGTTTAGGGAATAATGACAAAAATCTGTCGATATTCAGATGCAATCAAGTTAGTCAAACTATTTTCCATCCACAGATGTACAAGCTGCTGACAGGGAAGGCTGAGTGTAAGTGAGTGTGTGTTTGTGCATGTGTATGAGTATGCATATATTAGTGTGTGTGTGGCCTCACAGCTTAGGTCCAAAATATGCAAGTTTCTTTATCATACATATAATATAAAAGCATTTTATGATAAAAAGCATTACTTTTACCAGGTGGAAACAAAGCATTTTTCCTATCTATAGGGGTGTGTATGTGCGTGTGTGTGTTCTAGTAGCCTTGTAGAGGTAAACACCACACACTTAAATGCAAAAATATGAAAAGAAACAGAACAAAGCAAAAAAGGCTTTTAGAGTGAGTACAAAGCAGGAGAGGTGGTTTGACAAGTAAATCCCAGTCACCACGGTTGAGACTTTCCAACGTACCTGGACCGCAAGCTCCCAATGGAGACGCCAGGTTTCCCACAGCTAGTATTTTCTCACCAAACTCTTTCTAAAAAGGTCCCTGAGACCCTACCAGGGGCAGGACTAAAAGCCAAGCAGCCAAGCAGTAAACACCAAGTGGGTGAGCCTGAGTGTGTTAAGGAAAATGGGGCTAAAACATATACTTCTCCGATGCAAGCTCCACCAATGCTTGTGAACTCACAGGAACCAACAATGGTTTTGGAAGATTCAGGTCTGTTCAGAAAGACCTGTGAGTTCTGAAATTCTGCTTTATCTTGTTAAGAGGAAATAAAGAAAAGACTTAAAACCACACACGAGTAACAAACAACTATATCCAGCAGTAGGATAAAGCTGAAAGAGAGAGAAATAGATACGGAAGCAGACAAGGGAAACCATAATAAGCCCAATAACTCTTAAGTGCCTTTGCTACACTGGTGAGGGGGAGGAGGGAGGTTGACTTCTCCTACCTGGCTACCCACTCCTGACAGGGTTTATTTTAGGGTCAAAAACAGGTGCAGGTATGCACTGACAGATCTGAACAACTTTCACAAAACCAATACTTTGCCTCCCTCACTACAAGCCAGCTCACTACAATGCATGCCAGTAAGACCTAGTCCAGGCCAATCTACTTTTTAAGGCTGGTACAGCCCATTAAACGGATGCCGTGGTCTACAAGTACCACCACAAATTCAAAGCAAATGTATTCCAATACCTTTGGTTCTCTGAGGAGAAAGCGAAGACTCAGGGATCCCTGGTGGAATCCCAGGACACGGGGCTATTTCTTGGCAGACCAAGGTAAATGTTGGCTGCTGTTTTGTCTACTTATAGGAATGGGAGAGAGAGAGAATGAATGTGTGTGTGTGTGTGTGTGTGTGTGTGCTCAATCTCGAGAAATCCTTCCTTTGTCAACCTGGTCGAACGAATTTCTCCCTGCTCTCGCCCACCACCAGTCTTGAATTTGTTTAATGTCCAAAGTGCACGTGTCCCAACGCCCCCGAGGATCTGGTGCACAGTTCAGGTCCAACTGGTCTCACGGCATCATCCACACTAAGTGGCCGCTGAACTCTCGCCTACCGGTTCCTTGCCACGAACCTCAACACCTCAGGGATGTACTGTCCCTTTTGAGCTCACTCATGTGGACAGAAGAATTAAGAATTCTGAAGGACAAAGCTGAACTTACCTGAATTCTGAGATGCAATTTCAAAAACAAGAAAACCAAGGTACCTGACTCAACTTGGAAGAACTTGAAGTGGGTAATTTAGTCTTATCTGGATAGAGTAAGTCATTCAGGTTTCAGGAAAGGCTCACATGCAAAGTAGGTATCGGCAAAAAAACACATAAGCCAATGAAATAAATCACAAGCCCAGACATTAGTCCATGCATGTACAGTCTATTAACATTGCTAACATTTGGGAAGCCAGAATATTCAATGAGGAAAAAAATCTTCCCAATAAGGAGTGTTGAAGAAATGACATTCACATGTAAAAGAAGGAAATTGATCCACTCACAAAAATGATATCAAAATGGATTGAAATCTTAAGTGTCTGACATGAAATTGTAGAATTCTTAGAAAACATAGGAAAAGCTCCTTCACATTGGCCTTGGCAACATGATTGTGGATATGACACCAAAAATAAAATCAACAGAGCAAAAGTCAGTTAAGTGGTACCACATCAAAAAAGAAGAAACATCCTATATAGAATGGGAGAAAATATCCACAAACCATCTCGGATATGGAGCAAACATCCAAAATATACAGGAACTCACAGAACTCAAAGATAAAAAATAATCAGATTTTTAACTAGGCAGAAGACTTGAACAAATCTCTAAGAGATACAAGGCCAACAGGTACATGAGAAAGCATTTGACATCACAAATCAAAACCACAGTGTGGTATCACTTCCCACAGGCGAGAAGAGCTAAAAGCAGTATCAAGTGTTGGAGAATATGGAGAAAATGGACCCCGACTGCACTGTTGGTGGGACTAAAAACTGGTATAGCCATGACAGAAAACAATGTGCAGATTTCTCAAAAATTAAAAATGGAACTACTCCACGAGCCAGTAATCCTCCTCTAAGAATGCAGCCGAAGAAAGTAAACCTGTGACTATCAAGGTGTCTATGCCCCATGTTCACTGCGCTCCGTTCACAGTAACCATGACATGAAAGCCATGGAAGGGTGGATGAACAAATAAGGAAAACGTGATTGATTCACTGATGGGCTGAAAGATTCACAGGTACATGTACACGTGGAATATTATTCAGCCATATAAAAGAAGGGGCTCCTGTCATCTGTGACAACATGGAAGAGCGTAAGGGTGTTATGCTATCCTGTACTATGAGAACTAAGTCAGACAGGCAGAGACAGCTGGTCTGATACTGCTCATATGCACACTCCCCAGCTCACACACGGGGGAGCACAGGGGTGGTTACCTGAGGCTGGGGGGATGGGGAGACGTTGGGCACAGGGCATAAACCTCTAGTTCTAGCCACTTAACGTCAAGTTCGGTGACGACAGTCAACAATGCTGTACCGTAGACTTGAAACTTCTAAGAGCTGACCTCTAATGCTCTCAGCACACGCAGACGCACTCACGCAGGCGCACGCAGGCTAACTATGCCAGTAAGGACTTCATGTGGTTAATCAACTTTATCATGGCAATCATTCAGGTACATACATGTATTAGATCATCGCTGCACACTGACATGAGCCATCACGCTGTCCACCTTAAACTTACCCAACGTGTTCATTATAGCCCTAAAAAGCCAGGGAAAGGAGGGGCGGCCTCCCCTGCGATCGGAGCCGCAGGCTGAGCCTCCACTCTCCCACCTCACTCTGGTGGGCACAGGGAGTGGGTGCGAGGCCCCGTGTGTGGCACGCAAGGTCCACGTGGCAAAGGTTGCTTCCACCTTCCCGTAACCTCCCCCCACAGCCTTGTCTTGGCTCAACAGCACCACCCGTCCTCTGGTTCTCACAAAACCATGGAAATCAAACCCAACTCCCATCTGAAAAGCATCTGACAGAGAACGGGCCACGTGGCAAAGTCTCTCAGGCCCGCAATCGGGGCAAGCAGCTCCCACAGAAGATGGGGCACATACAACAGGCCCCAGTTTAAACTGTGGAAGCCTCGCAACAACATGACATTGACTCGCTTCATCCTCTATGCCTAAGCCAGAGTTTTGTTAACTGTGACTCTTTGGAACAAAGTTTGCACTTCTGCAACTTTTTAAAAGCGTAGGTTTCTCCCTCCCAGGGGCCCTCACGCACTGACAAGCTTCTCCCGGCTGTAACCTTGCATGACCTACCCTCTGCCGCTAGCCCGTTTCCCCACTCCCCGAGCAACCCCATGGGCCTGCACGCGCTGCTGCTAACTGATTCTGTGTTGAACTGATTAACATGATTAACAGATGAACTGGGTTAAACGGCACCGAGAATGAAAATAACGCGTGTTCATGCGGCTACTGGGAAACAGAGATGGCACAGGGAGTCTGCTGTTCCTACTGCAAGGGGAGCCACGAGCCAGGCTGCGGCGGCAACGTCTCCTGTAAAGGGCCGTGTGGGCATCTTCCTCCTCCCCCGCCCCCCCCCCCCGAATTCAGCCATGGTGACAGGGAAGCAGCCACATACAGCACAGAAAGACCGGAACCGGCCGTGTGGCAAGAGAAGCAGACCTGGCCCCTGGCTATTACTGGTAGATACTCCTCTCCAGTACTCAGTGTGCAAAAGGCTCATTTCTAGAATATTCCTCTTGATGCGTTTTCTCCGGCGCCCTCACTTTATTCAGCTAGGCAGGGGCACGCCGGGCGCCCCTCGCTGCCCGGGGCCCGCCTGCCCCCCACGCCCGCGCGCGAGCACTCACTTGGGCGTATGCGCCTCGTCCACGCGGTGGCCCAGCTGGAACTCGTGGGACTTGCTCCGGTGCAGGGCCGTGAAGCCTGGGATCAAGTGGATCAGCTTCCGGGAAGAGGGCGGCGGGGTTCCCGGGGGCTTCAGCTTATTCTTCCTCCTCATAGGCGGCGTGCCTGGCGGGGTCACGGTAGTGACGATATTGGGGGTCCGCGGCGGGGTGCGGACCGCGTGCCGCTGCCGGGGGGACGGGGGCAGGGAGCGGTGGCCCGACTCCAGGGGCGGCGGCGGGCAGAGACCCGGGTAAGCGTCCACGGTCAGCCTGTCCACGTGGGTGTACGCGGGGGCCCCGGGGGCGGGGCTGGCGTGACAGAAGTGCTGGGCGCACTTGGCCTGCACCCTGGGGCTCTGGGAGAGGTGGGTGCGGATCCAGGGGGTCGGCTCCGGGGGGCACACGGGGTTGTTCTCCTTCCCCGTCTCGGTGGTGGGCCACTGGATGGTCCAGTCTTGTTTGGAAAGGTTGCCTCCTGGTAGGAACAAGGAGCAGAGACAGGGGTCAGCCAGGAGAAAGGGGGCGCTCCAGGGGGGCGCACTGCTTTGCATACGCGCCCCTCCCCCCCCACCAACAGACACACCGCGCACACACACACACACGTTTCGGATGTTCCAGCTAGGTGCTGCTTCACTTTGGGCAGTTCCTACCTTAGTACCTGTTTGTTCTGCAACAGCGAAGGTTCTAGAAGCAACGGGCACCACCCACACTCCAGCAAGCCCAAGCTCCTTCCCGGGGACGATTGTACAGCGGCTGTGTACTTATACAGCCTGGGCGCTAGTTTGGATTTTACTTACCAATAGTAGCAATGTAAGAAAAACAAGAACGGAGCCATCCCAGGTGTGGGCGAAAAGCAAAGCGCGCGGGGAGGCCGCCGAGGGGCAGAGCGTGGGGCCCGCGCAGGCCGCGCGCGTGTCCACTGGGGCCCAGACGCAGCAGACGTCACCCCCACCCAAGGCCCGCCCAGGATTGGAAAAGTGGCCAATCACTGGGGACGAAATTTCCACCAATCAAAACTGCACTGCCTTATAGCCTGATTTGCATAAAGAAGCCCGAGTGCAAATCTAGCTTTTTTTTTTTGAGTTTACGCCTCCCACCCCAGGCAACTCCAAAGGGCAGCTTCTTGGGCTGGTGAGCCCTAGGCTGCAGTCCTAAATTCTGTAATAAACATTTTAATAGCGTGGCCTGGCGTCAACATCTTGGTCTACTATTGTTTGGTTGATTATTTTCTGGCCTGGGAAAGCTCAAACTTTTTCCCATTTAGATGAGTGAGAATTCTGCTTCAAATTATACCATTTCAGCTTACAAAAGTGGTCATAGAACACTCTGCTTTTGCATAGCTGGTGGGGGGAAGAGAAGTCACCACTGCCCCCAACAGAGCACCAGATACAGATTACAACACATAACCCCTACAGCGGACCTCAGCCACGGACCAATATAAACTCAAGCGCATAAATTCAACCACACCAGATGAAATGCAACTTGAAGGGATCTGAGAAAAGTATATGCAGTGAAGCAAGTCAGTACCATAACCAACAAATATTGGGCATTTTCATAGTAGGCAATTTAACCAGTACAGCACTTCCAAAATTCTACTGGACATCAATAAGCACAGCGGGGGCTCTGAGGTTAAGAGGGACAGGAAGGGACCTAGGGACAAGAGATGGTAGAGCAGGAAATATTTTTTAAATTAAAACCTAAAATAAAAAGGTATTATCTGTGCTTCCGCAGAGTTTACAACCTGGATGGAGAGACAAAAAATATACATTCATGAAAGGAATTACAAAATTGTTCATGGAAGTCAGTAAGCGTTATAATTCTAAAGACATAATAGTTAAAAAAAATAATCCACACCCACCTGGCCCCTCCCAGAGGAGAACGGGGAGACTGTGCGGCTGCTTGTGGTGACCTCCACTCTGTGGTTGAGAGGCCCACAGTTCAGATGTTCAGAAAAGCAAAGGCCTATTTCTTGCCTTTTGAGCCTTCAAAGGGTCCAGCAGTTTCAAGGGGATTTAAAGAATGTTATCCCCAGGATAACACTTCCCCTCACCCCACCCCATGTAAAATATGTAAATTCTGTGGGAGGCACGGCCACCCCTGGCCACTCCCTGAGCCGCTCCCTCGGGGTAGCCTCCAAGGCTACCAAAGCCTGTGCTCATCCATGCAAGCATCCAGCATGCACTTTCTGAATGTGCCAGGCACTGTGCCTAGAAGGAACACAAGAGACCACAAGCAGGCCAGCCCTGATCCCCTGGACTCACATCCTGAAGGAGAGACATGATAGACGAGAAAACACACTTGACAGGCTCCAGGTAGTTGTCTGTGGTGGCAGGGACACAAACAGAATGATGTAATAAAGCACACTGGCAGGGTGGCAGGGCCTCCCTGATGGCACAGGGGTTAAGGTATCAGCCCTGTTGAGTTCAACCCCCGGCCGGGAAGCTGACCCACATGGCACAACAGGCCTCTCCTGTCTCTTCTGCTGCTCCCCTCAGCAGTGTGTTTCAGTAGCTCCACCTGTTCTGCTCCCCGCTCTGACTCTGGTGAATCCTCTCACCTCCTGTCCCTCTGGCCTACACCCCAGTTCTTGCATGCATAAATAAATAAAAATAAATCTTTTTTTTTAAATGTCGCATGGTAATACAAACCCGGGAATAGGACTCTGCCAGAAAAAGGGAATGAACCATTAAATGGCAGGCAGGGGTCCGGGGAAGAGGACCTCAGGACAAAAGCAGGAAAAAGGCAGCGGTTTGCCTTTTTTGTCTTATGATAATTTGTCTATTTAAACTAAACAAAGGCATTTTCATAACTCCCGTTGTCATGAATGCAACTTGAGGTTTTCAGCCCTGGCAGGAGCTTAATCAAAATCAATAATCCGATCATGCACGAGCATTTTTCATGCATTTGTTATATGGGCCATACAAAAACCAATCTGGTCTAAGCTTTCGGACTCCGAGGGACAATGTTCGGCCTTTCTTTATCTTCCAGGGTGGGAGAAGTAAAAGCATAGGAAGCGAGTGATTACCAAGTACAGACTCCAGAAACATCTAACTCAGGACAGGTGCTTCCCCAGCCCCTCTTTTGGGACCTTCTTGAAGACAGCATGCACAGGGTGTAATGACCAAGAGGCTGCAGGAACAAGGAAGGGACATTTCCCCGGGCGGGTGGAACCAGCTCACTGTGGATTTTATACCAAGGCCAGTGGGAAGCCACTGAGGGTTGAGATCTACTCAGACTGACGGCGTCCTGGACAGGGGAGCCAGCTCGAGGGAATGCAGGCCTGCAGGGAAGAGGTGGTGTTGGTGCCGACTCTGGTGGTAGCCGCCAAGATGGAGAGAAGTCAGCCTGGGTCAGTGGATGAAAAAGCAGGACCCGGCAGAAGGCGATCGAGCGGACCAAGAAAGGAGATTTGGCGCAGAAATGAATTCCAACCCGTGGCCGCCTCAGTGACAATGATTATTACCTAACGGCCATAACGGGAGCTCATTTACAGGGTATGTGACAGTTGACTGAGTGGCATCAAGAACAGTGACTCACTGCCGCAGTTTTAATTGAAACAACTCATTTCGTTATTACATATTCATTATAGAAAAATTAGGACACTGAGATCAGGGTAAAGGCAATATTGTTCCAGGGCCTCACCACCATCCCTGCTGACTTTGGCTGTGCAGTCTGCTCAGTGGTTTCTGTAGATTTTTTAAAAGAAATGCCACAAGACCTTACTTAATGGCTTATCATCTGCTTTCTCCACTTCTCTTGGGGCTGTTTTACATTATATTTCATTTTGATAGTTCTGGCTGCAAAGGAACAATTTCTTTTTAAAATGAATTTGTCTGTTGTCGATGTGTCTCTATAACTGCAGGAGTACATTGCCCCCACCCCCCAAATGTACGCACGCTTCACTCACCCTCCACCAGCACTCAAAGGGCCCTTTTCATCTCCACTTTGTAGATAAGGAAATGGATGTGCGGCACTGAAGATGTGTCTAAGGTGACCACAGAGATGGGACCCAGAAACCAGGACTCCGTGCCCAAGACCTGTCCACCTCCTAACCAAGATACAGGAGCGTCTGAGACACAGAGCTGGACCGTCACCTGAACGCCAGATGACCACAGGTGCAGGAGTGCGGGCTCATTTCTGATAAAAGCCCCCCTTTTCAATCCTTCCACACTTTGCCAGAACAATCTACCCAAGTCACGATCACGCTGATATCTGTTCTTAAATGTACATATACATTAGCCTGGAGACTCAAAGAGCCAGCTCTGGGATCACATGCTGTGGCCTTGATTCTGGCCCCCCACTCACCATCTGGGGGACCCCACAGATGGCATTCATCTGGCCTTCTGGCCTCAATGAGTCTTTGCTGAATTGCCTGTGAAATGGGACAACCACGGGATCTGCTCAGGGGAATGTTACAACCTCTAGGGGAAGCTCTGCATAGGGAGAGACATGACCGGCGAGTGTGTGGAAGCTGTAGCCGGTTTTGCTATGGAGCAAGGACCAGATAGGTCAAGGTAGCAGCAGGAGCCCATCCCAAGTTGCTGAAGGACGGGAGATGACGAGGACCTGGGTTAGGTCGGGTGTGGCAGAACCAAAGATGGGGAGGCACGTGAACTGACTGGGCATAAATCCCAGGAAGGAGGAAAAAGTGGCTAATACTCATGGTGAACTTTATTCCTTCCACCATTGTTTCGAGTAAATTACTTGTGTCAAATTCGGTAACCACACAATGACCTTAGGAACCGGGCAAAATGGACGCCATTTTACAGATGAGGAAACGGAGGCACAGAGAGGTTACGTGACTTGCTCGAAGTCATCCGGCCAGGGAGGACAGCTGGAGTTTGGCCCCACACTCTCAACCACCACACTCAGGCAAGGCTGACGTCCTCATTTCCAGCCTGGGCCACAGGGTGGCTGTGGCACCAAGCATAGGGACACAGGAGAAGGCAACAGAGAGAGACGGCGTCACAGAGCCGCGTCTGAGCTTCCTCCAGGACATTCGGAGGCGATGCCTGCCTGGGATGCAGCTGCTGCTTCTCCCCAGAATCCGGGAACTGCTCCTCAGGAAGAAGGTATTTCTCTAGCCTGAGAGGATTGATCCTGGCATTCTAAAACCTCCCAAGCTTACCCAAGAGTGTCAGACTCACCTTCGACTTCTAGTTCTCACAAAGACAGGGCGTGATTTAATCACTTTCGCCTGTCTCTTCTCCTCTCTGATCCCTGAGTCTCCAGAACAGACATGCTCTGACCTTGAATTACAGGTGTGGGGAGGGGGAGCCAGTCACGTCTCCCACCGCCTGGCTCCCTCAGAAGGAGGAGCGATACCAATGCATTTGGAAGATGCTTTCTGAGCCAAAATAAAATAAAGTAAACAGGAATTAATTGAAAGGAAGCCTCAAGCAAGGAAGTAGGAGGTTTTGCGATGTGCAGAACCACAGACATTGCGATGGGGTGCTTAGACATGTACTTGGCCCT